GACTCTTTGCAACCTCATGAACTGTAGCCCGCCAGGCTCTTCTGTCCACGGGGATTCTCCAGGAAATACTGGAGGGGGTTGCCCAGGCCCTCCTCCAGAGGATCTGTTGAACCCAGCGATCAAAGCCAGGTCTCCCGTACTGCAGGCAGATGCTTGACTGTCTGACCGCCAGGGAAGTCCAACACATACTAAGATTTAACTTGACCATGGTTACCATTAAGATTCTTGAAACCATTCTACAATACAGTGCATTTCTCTAATATGGTGAACAGCCAAACCATACATATTTTTGAGACCACCTCCTATTTAAAATGGGCTTCCCAGGAGGCTTGGTGGTAAAGAATCTGCCTGCCAATGCAGGAGATCCGAGTTTGATATCTAGGTTGTGAAGATCCCCTGGAATATTGGCAACACATTCCAGTATTCTTGCCTGGGAAATCCCAAGGACAGAGGAGCCTGGTGGGCTACAGTCCAGGGGGTCACAAAGAGTCGGAAACGGCTGAGCAACTGACCACACACCTATTTAAGATAAATATTTGGTATACTTTTAATTCCTATTTTTTTTTTCTTGATACTACAATCTAGAGCTTTAGATTCAGGTAGATACTTTTTTTTTTTTACAAAACATTTAAAATTTCTCTTTGCCTTTACAATGCTTTATAACTAGAAAGTGAAAGTCGCTCAGTTGTGTCCAACTCTTTGCGACCCAATGGACTATACAGTCCATGGAATTCTCCAGGCCAGAATACTGGAGTGGGTAGCCTTTCCTTTCTCCAGGGGATCTTCCCAACCCAGGGATCAAACCCAGGTCTCCCGCATTGNGTTAAAGTCCACCTCTTGCTTTGCAGTCAACATCTAAGCAATCTTTTTTTCCCCTTATGTTCTAATATCTTTTCCCATGTTCATTTTTTAATTGCATAGGTAATACGTGAACACAAACCCAGTTTTTTTTTTAAGTGAAATATAAAGTAAAAAGTGATATATCTCCATACCACTATTTCTTTTCTCATATATATACATATACATACATACATATACATATACATATATTTACATATATATAAATAGCTCTTCAGCATAAATGAAATCATACTACATATAGTTTTGTAATTAGCTTTTCTTACTTGTGGTCTATCTTAGAGGTACTATTCTCAGCACTGAGAAATCTTCATGTCAGTATGTGTGACTTTAATCTCTTTTCTTAACCAATAAAGGATATTCCATTCTACCCATTTACCATAATTTATTAAAATGCTTCCCTGTCACTGGACATTTGGCTTGTTTTCAAGTGTAACTTCAGTTACAACTAACGCTAAATAAAAATACAAAAATTGTAGCACATGCTTGTCAATGCAAGTGTGTACACTTGTGGGTGACAAGTATGTACTCTTTATGGAGGAATCAAGAGCGGACCTACTTAAATTTTAGCTGTTCTTGCCTAACTGTCCACAAGGAAAGCAAACCAATAGTGTGTCAGAATAAGCAAACTGAATCTCCAAGAGCTTTTCTTCCCCCCAGTTATAAAAGGGAGGAGATAACACTTAAACATCATAGGGTTCTTCCGACAGTCTTGCAGAGCAGGAATGAGAGCAGAGTCATGATCGCCACACTGCAGGGCCTCTCCCGCTCACAGGTCAGACAGAGCCACAAAAATGTGCACCAGCAGGCAGTCATTCCAAGGGCATCTAGACAGTGTAGGCAGTTTTCAAAGGTTGGAGGACGAGGTGGACTTCTGGCTGCTGTGTGATGGGAGGATAGAAGAGGGAGTCTGGCCAGCCTAGTGGCTGGGGAGACATGCATCAGGCCATGGCATCCCTGAAAGAACAGCGTAGACAGAGACAGCAGGGAGAAGAGTGTGTTGGTGACCTGCAGTGCAGCAGAATCCTAAATGGTGTGATGTAGCTGCAACCTCAGACTGGATGACAACTTTCACCCTGTATCTTATTAGTACATCCAATGTTTTTATTGCCTTTTTTTTGATGTGGACCATTTTTTAAAGTCTTTATCAAATTTGTTACAATATTGATTCGGTTTTATCTTCTGACTTTTTGACTGTGAGGCATGATCTTAGTTCCCAGACGAGGGATCAAATAGGCACCTCTTGAACTGGAAGATGAAGTCTTAATCACTGAACAGCCTGGGAAGTCCCTAGGAGTTTATTTTTGATGTTGTATATTTTTCTGTTGCCTCTCTAAACAGACTCTCTGGTATAGAATTCCTTGGTTACATGCTTTCTCCAGGAAACTCAGCACACATTTTTTGCTGTCCTCACGAGCTCAGTGCATAGATGAAAAGGCTGATTCCTCTGTCATTTGTTCTTTTTTTAAATAACTTTTTTTTCCTGTTCTGGCTGCTTATAAAATTTTTAAAGTTTCTTTGTAGAAAAAGAAAAGGAAGAAAATATCCATTTTGCGGAGGTCTCTGCCTGCAATTAGGTGAGTTTAATTTCTAGATATTTTTCCTCACTAGAGGAAAACTCTTTATTCACTTAATATTACTTTGTTCACATTTTTCTAATTTCTCCTTGAGAAGCATCAATGAATTATGTCTTCACGCACCATCCTCTATTCCCCTGAAATATAATCCTTTTCACACTCACTTTTTCACCTGGGGCAGAAGTTGACAAGTTATGTCCTGTTTTTAAATGGCTGATAAGCTAACAATGGTTTTTCCATTTTTAGAGGGTGGTGAACATGCAAAACAACACAGAAGAATAAGACCGTAAAGCTCGAAAAGTGAAAATGTTTACCATCTGGCCCTTCGCACAGAAAGTATACTGACCTTGGATGCTCACCCTTGGAGAGCGACTCAGGTTTATCCCCAGCATCTCTGTTTCCACTTTTTCTCGGTGCCACTGCCATCCTGACTTCTCCACCACTGGCTCCAGTGAAGATTTTAATTTTGCTCTTTTTTTAGGGGCTTTGCAATCTCCTTTATGGCTTCATTTCAACTCCTCCAGCTGTCTTTACCTCTCTTCCTCTCTTCTTTTCTTGGCTTTTGTTCCAGAATCATGGAACATTTTACTTGTCAGAATTCCCAAGATAACATTTCTGCTCTCCTTCACTGCCTCTTCTCTCAGGACTTGCTCACAGCGCTCCAAGACATTCTCTGCCCCGGGAGCCCTCCTTCTGCCTGGCTGCACATGCGAGGACCTGGCCAGACTCAGTGCTCGGCGACAGTTTGTAGACTGCCCTTGGCTTCCCCGACTACCCACATGACAGCCAAGTATGTACCCTGCATGCATTATTTATGGCATGTTTAGGCTCCTAGCTCCCACTAATCCAATTCTCAGCTTCTAACTTTCCCTGAGAGCAGGAGTCAGCATTACTGTCTGTGGCCTATATGGCTAGAAACCTAAGAGTGGTTTTTCTATTGTTTTTTACAGGATTGTGAAACAACCAACCAAGCAAGAAGCAAACAGCCAAGAAATTAGCAAAAATAGACAGAGCATGCAGAATAAGATGGAAACCCTTTGTGGTCCACGAAGCTTCAAATGTTAGTATTTCTTATACAGTCATTTATCAAGAAAGCTTCATGTCCATCAGCAGATGAGTGGATAAAGAAGATGTGGTGTGTGTATATATATGTGTGTGTGTGTGTGTGTATATATATATATATATATATGCTACTCACCATAAAAAAGAATGAAATTTTGCCATTTGCAGCAACATGGATAGAATTCGAGGGCATTATGCTAACTAAGTGAAATATGGCAGACAGAGAAAGACGAACACTGTGTATTATTGCTTATATGTGGAATCTAAAAAATACAACAGACTAGTGAATATAACAAAAAAGAATCAGGCACAGGGATGCAGAGAACAAACTAGAGGTTATAAGTTGTGGGGGGGCAATATACAGGTGAAAGACTGGGAGGTGTAAACCACTGGGTATAAGACAGGCTCAAAACATAGCAATATTCAAAACGTAGCAATATTTTGTTAATAATTGTAAATTGAGTATAGCCTTTTAAAATTGTATTAAAATGTTAAAAATAAACAAAAGTTCTGACTATTGCCCAGAGCCCATGCCTCTTCTCTACCTCATGCCTGGCTCTTTGAACTGACAAAATCCATCCCAAACCTACACACCATGCCAAAAGCAATAAAAAAGAATGAAATTTTGCCATTTGCAGTAACATGGATAGAATTCGAGGGCATTATGCTAACTAAGTGAAATATGGCAGACAGAGAAAGATGAACACTGTGTATTATTGCTTATATGTGGAATCTAAAAAATACAACAGACTAGTGAATATAACAAAAAAGAATCAGGCACATGGATGCAGAGAACAAACTAGAGGTTATAAGTTGTGGGGGGGCAATATACAGGTGGAAGACTGGGAGGTGTAAACCACTGGGTATAAGACAGGCTCAAAACATAGCAATATTCAAAACGTAGCAATATTTTGTTAATAACTGTAAATTGAGTATAGCCTTTTAAAACTGTATTAAAATGTTAAAAATAAACAAAAGTTGTGACTATTGCCCAGAGCCCATGCCTCTTCTCTACCTCATGCCTGGCTCTTTGAACTGACAAAATCCATCCCAAACCTACACACCATGCCAAAAGCATCCTTCCCATCTAACCTACTATACGTGGGGTTTACTCACTGAGGCTTTATCTAAGAAGGGACTAACCTACCCTAATTCTTGACAACTTGGTTTTGTAAGAGGGGGTCTCCACCTGGAAACAGAAGGATGTGGATGCAGGGGCAGCTGTATTAGAGGGTGGGAGGCAGGGCGCCTCACAGATTGGCACTTATGAGTTGGAGGATGGTTGTCTTATATTCAGGTTATTATGAACCTTGGATATTTCTGTTAAGGGTCAGCAATGGGGTACAAAACCTGTCTTCTTATTTCTCACTTCTGTTTTTCCTTTGATAAAAAGGATTCAATTGCAAAAACATGTTGAAAACTCACTAAGGGAGGGTTTAAGACAAGAAGCCACCAGCATGATCTGTTAACACATTAAGTCAAAAAGCACACCACTAATGTTACCTGTAATCATGGACTACTTTCCTCGCCGCCTCCAGTTGTTCGTTGGTTAACAGAATGTTCCTGGGATCAGTTACAGTGAAGAAATGCTTGGCTCGTCCAATGAAAGTGCTTTGATCCCATCGAGGTTCCTTGATGTTAATGTTTGGTGGAAGTTCTCCAGACATCTTCCTGGACTGGAGAGGATTAGAAAGAAGCTGATTTAAGATTTACAATGTTACCATACATTTGGAAACTTTGTAATCACACTAAAGAGTTACAGACACTTCAGTTTATGAAAATAACTTTGTAATAAATGGCAGAGAGACAATTTAAGTCCAAAGCTAAATTTGTTTGCAAATATCAGTTGATCCTAACCAAATTTCAATAATTTCCCACACAGTTCTTTTTAAAAGGACATAGTATTTCATCATCCCTTACTTTTCAAAACCTATCCTTTAGAAAAAAATTAAAATATTAAAAGTTAGAAATAACATCAAGAATAATAGGCACTGAAGTTTGAAATCCTTTTTCTGGGTGAAAGAACCAACATCAAACTACTGCTGCATTATGGTTTACTAAATCTGTTATTCCTACAAGTAGAAGTGACTGACTATGCAAAAAAGGGTTACATGCTAAAAATTCTGCAATTAAAAAAAGATTCAGATTCATTCAGCCTTATTCAGTGTAAAAACCACCAACCAAAAATGAAAAATCATGTTCTTCAATCTAACAGGGTCATAATGGGAAAAACATATTTTGACAACCACATGAATAGTAATAACTTAGGAGCATATAATTTTCCTTATAAAATACTTATTTTCTGGCTAAGGACCCTTACTTTTTTCTAAAGTAACTAATTTCTTTCTCTGAGTAATATATGTTTGTTAGAACTGCTCTGTATTGTTATAATACATGCTTATTTTGAATAATATAAGCTTATGGTAGAAAATAAAAAATAGAGAAACAAAATCTACTATAATTTAGCCATTCTGAAATAACTGTTGTTGCTCTCTTTGTATATTTCCTTGCAGATATTTTCTATACATATTATCATCTAATTAAACCAAATAACAAAGTTGATCTCATACCTGGTATTTTAATATCCTGTTTCTTGCACATTTCATAAGCACTCCCTATGGCACTAAAGGTTCATTTGGGGTATTTAGCAACACCTTCAAAGTTAATGTTATTTTCAGTTTTTCACTATGAGAAGTAACGCTGTATCATTGTCTACTAATTTTTTCCCTCATATCTAGTGACTTCCTTAAACTATATCTCTCTATACGATCTTAGAAGGTCGAAGGATTTGGTCACTATTATGGTTTCAAACCACTGCTTTCTCACACTGGTCTCTTCTTACATTTCTAATATTGGTTCTTCTAGTAGCTTCCTTTTTCAGGTCATTCTTCATTAAGTTATTTTTCAGTGCTTCACTAGATCGTAGGTGTTTTAAGATGTCAGTGCCTGTCACTCAAACTTTATCAGAATCTCAAATTAACATGTATCATGGCCCACTGAATCAAAATCAAGCATGTCAGGCCCACAGATATGAGGAATTTAGTGTATGTGAAATAGTGGGTCAGTGAGAGTGAGAAAGTAAAAAATTAGCCCTATCATTCATAAAACAGGCTGAGATGACAAACAGATAAAGTCAGCGGTGAAGTTAACGGGAAACCGTATTTCTCCCAGGGACTCCCCCGGTAGCTCAGACAGTAAAGAATCTGCCTGCAATGTGGGAGACCCAGGCTCGATCCCTGGGCTGGGAAGGTCCCCTGGAGAAGGGAACGGCAATTCCATCCTGGAATCTCATGAACAGAGGAGCCTGGTAGGCTACATACAGTCCGTGGGGTCACAAAGAGTCAGACATGACTGAGCAATGAACACTTCCTTTTATATTTCTCTGAAACTCATAATGCAGCTAAAAGGTGTCAAAATGACTCCATTTTTTGGGTGACCCCGCTTTCTTATCTCATTTGTGGATAAGAAACCTTGTTCTCCATAATCACAGACTGTCAGAAACTTTGTTGTTTGAAATAGAACTTGGAAGAATGAAATATCCCACTTTTGACACAGAAAAGAAGCCTGGATTTCCAGCCCAGGAGGAGAGTTTCAGATTAAGGAGTTTCTGGAAACAATATTCCACATCTTTCTTAACCTTGCCGTTTCCACAGAACAAGGTCATGGGGCTACTTCATGGTCCAGAGCTTCACAGCCAGCCCTGCTCTGAGTCAATCATAATGTTGCTTCACTAAGCTTCCAAAATTCCACCATCCTCCAAGATGCTCTGAAAGATCTATCTCTTCCTCTGTTGTTGAGACAGTCCCAATTCCGCCACTGTTATTTCTCTCACTGAAATACACACAACTTTGTTTTACTAAGGTTTGTCCCTGCTAGTTTTCAGCCAGTTCAGCTACGATAAAAGAAGTGTCTAAATATCAAATTTGGGCACCTTTAAGTCATACATGTGAAGTCCGGAGATTGGAGGATACACTTCAAAGAGCTGGGTCACTATATGAAGAAATGTCTAAATTTCAAATGAGACTAGAAAAAGATATATCAGATGTATTATCTACAAAACATAAAAAAGCAAAACAGAAACTCCAATTCGCACCCAGGAAAATAGGTACCAGACTTGCGTGCAGGGACTTAGGGCTCTGCTGAAGAACTTTAGTGACCTCTAGGGGAGTGGAGAGCTGCACTCAATACGCCAGCAANGCTTTATTTTCTTGGGCTCCAAAATCACTGCAGATGGTGATTGCAGCCATGAAATTAAAAGACACCTGCTCCTTGGAAGAAAAGTTATGATCAACTGAGACAGCATATTAAAAAGCAGAGACATTATGCTGCCAACAAAGGTCCGTCTAGTCAAAGCTATATTTTTTCCAGTAGTCATGTATGCATGTGAGAGTTGGACTATAAGCAAAGCTGAGTGCTGAAGAATTGATGCTTTTGAACTGTGGTGTTGGAGAAGACTGTTGAGAGTCCCCTGGACTGCAAGAAGATCCAACCAGTCCATCCTAGAGGAGATCAGTCCTGAATATTCATTGGAAGGACTGATGCTGAAGCTGAAACTCCAATACTTTGGTCATCCGATACAAAGAACTGATTCATTGGAAAAGACCCTGATGCTGGGAAAGATTGAAGGCAGGAGGAGAAGGGGATGACAGAGGCTGAGATGGTTGGATGGCATCACCGACTCGATGGACATGGGTCTGGGTGGTCTCTGGGAGTTGGTGATGGACAGGGAGGCCTGGCGTGCTGCAGTTCACGGGGTTGCAAAGAGTCGGACACGACTGAGCGACTGAGCTGAACTGAGGGGAGTGGAGGGGATTCATATTCGACCCCAGCAGCTCTGTTTTCCTCTACCCTCTACAGCTGTGTTTTATGGCAACAACCTTTTAAAGATAGGGTTCTACTGCTTGGGGGGAAGAAAAGCAAAAAAGAAAAAAGTTGAAAATCACTAGAGGAGATGATAATCTGAAGATCTATGAGATGACTAATAAAGGTACAGAAGGTCTCAAGCTATTCTTCACTCCAACTTCCTGAGGCAGTCCTGGAGTCCATCTGATCAGTGCTTCTTAAACTATGTGCATGAAAAACCTGGTTTGTTTGTTCTAATTTCCAATCCCTGTCATGAACCAATACTTTTGTAAACTAGATTAAAAAAAGTTTTTGAAAAAGATTTGACACAAAAAAGTCTCAATTTTTTATTATTGGATCAGCAGATATTAATATAATAGAACTCTAACATATTTTTATGAAAGTTTCTAAGCACTTCCAATTTCTGTACTTTTTCCAGTATGGATCTGTAACAGACAGTTCACACTGGCCTTGCCTAAGGATCATAATTTGAATTTCCACTTATGCATATAGGTCACAGTTTGTTTCTAGACTTATACTTTCTATGCTATAATAATTAAACCAAATAATGTGGTCAAACTCACTCCTATTTCTGAATGGACCATTATAAGATAGTTTCTATACTCTATACTGCAGTAGGTCACAGATTAAATACAGAAGAAATTCTTGCCAAGACAAGACTTACAGGTTTCTTCTTTCTTTAAAGTCTAGAAAATGCTGCTACCTTTAGTGTTCACTGACTGGGCATCCATGTCACAGATTCTTGGGCTAAATCAGTGAATAAAGACAAAAATTCCTTCCTTGGTGGAGCTGACGTTGGATGGTGGCAATAGAAGGGGAGCTAGACAATGAAAACAGAAGGTAAACCAAGTATCAAATATATAAGAAGGTAATAGGCGGTTTTGGGGGAAATCAGAATAGGAAACATCATGAGGACAGATGGTGTTTTTAACCAGGGAAGTCACAGTAGGCCTCATTGAGAAAGTAACAATGAAGCAAGATGAGAGAGAAGAGATGCACCCACACGCTTGGGCAATGGGGGCACAGCATTCCAGGGAGAGGGAACAGACACTGCAAAGACCCTGAGGCAGATGTCTTCAAAGAACAGCAAGAAGCTGGGGTGGGAGAGAGGAAGAGGGAGACAGCAGATGAGGGGTCTGAGAGGCAGGGGGAGGGGTTTAAGTTGGAATAGGACTGTTTGGTGCCTTGTGGCCACTGTGAGGCCTTTGCGTTTTACCCTGAGGGAAACGGGAGTCACTGGTGGGTTCCAAATAGGGCAATAAAATGATCTGACTTATAACTTAAAAGGCTCTCCAGCTGCTGTGTGGAGAATGCAGTGGGGTGATAGGAGCAGACGCGGGAAGGGTCACTCTGAGGCTCCTGTAGGCATGCGGGGAGGGCTGACGGTGGAGCAGGTGGTAGCAGGGAGGTGTCAAGAGGCACTGATGTTCTGGATATGCTGCTGATGGAGCCAAGAGGATTTCCTGATAACTTGGATGGAGGAGTGGGACAGAATAAAAAGGCATGGCTCTTCAGGTAATCTGGGTGGAAGAGGAGCAGGTGTTAGGGAGAAAGCAGCAACTTCAGCTTTGGATGAATGACGTTTGTGGTGCCTAGGGGCCTTCTAAGTTGGAGGCCGTTGAAAATGAGAGTCTGGAGCTCAGAGGCGTGGTTTTGCCTACAGATGCTCATCTGGGAGCTGTAGCACAGAGACTATGGGAACTCATGCAATGGGAGGAGATCAACAGGGGTGTGCCTGTAAAAAGAGAATGGCTCCAAGGCCTCCAGTGTTAAGAGGTCAGCAAAGACTAAGTTACAGCAAAGGAGGCTGAGA